GTAGCTGGCAGAGATGCTGAGAACCAGTCAAGAAGCACTGATGTGAAAGAATAAAGGAGCCGATGTCAAGCCTGTGGCACAACTTCACTTTCCAGACGTGGTTGAAAAGGAGCAGGAGGAAACCTCGGGAGCAGAAAACAAAAACGTCTGCGGAGAGAGCTTACGAGCACAGACCTATTTATCTGCAGTTTCCCATGTTGCCAGCTGGAGTGCTGACTTCAGGGATTTTTTTTTCCTATCTGTCTTTTACTTCCTTTTCTGAAAATAACCTGTGTGTGTGTGCATGTGCTTGACCCTTTGGAGAAGATAAGTGCGGAAATCAGAACCTCTTTCTGGATTTGTTTGAATATTGATGGTCTCTTCTTGCTCCGCACGCAGACCAACCCCTGAAAGTCAAACTCCGCAATGATTCCTGGTGGGACACCAACGATGCCAGCCGTTTGTAGCTCCATTTATAATAAGTATTAAAAGCACTTGAAGGTAAATCAGATTAGGAAGTTTGAAATGATCGTTTTGGTTAACTGTGTTTTAAATTGAACAGACTGAAGACGATCATTTTTATTAAAAATATGCTTCCCTTGGGCTTCCCTGGTGGCGCAGTGGTTGAGAGTCCGCCTGCCGATGCAGTGGACGCGGGTTCATGTCCCGGTCCGGGAAGATCCCACATGCCGCGGAGCGGCTGGGCCCGTGAGCCATGGTCGCTGAGCCTGCGCGTCCGGAGCCTGTGCTCCGCAACGGGAGAGGCCACAGCAGTGAGAGGCCCGCGTACCGCAAAAAAAAATGCTTCCCCCGCCCAGTACTGCTAGGGATGGGATTTCCAAAGGAAACCTCACTTTTTCGATTGTGGCTTCAAAGTCTCCACCTTGACATCCCCACTCCTCCCCCACCCCTCTCCAAATGGGAGGAAGTAGGGAGAGGGTGGCAGGAAGCTGAACCCGTCTTTTCCTGTTCTTTTCCTCCTCCCAGACTCTTTAAAAGCCAATTCTCCCTTAGGTGCACCAACCCCACTGAGATGCACGTGGAAACGTCTGTCACCATTAAAGACTTGGTGGAACCCCCCTCCCCCCGGAGCCGGCTGAAGGGAGCCCACTTCCGGGGGTCGAGGCTGTTCATTGGTAGGTGCTGAATGACATGTGCTTCTGCGGAATTTCCAGCTCAAGCCCTGTGATGATGCTTTTAGGAAAGCATCCCAAATTATTATTATTATTATTATTCTTTAAAGTAGCAACCTTCCTTTATTTAACTCACTTGAGAATATTTGATTACCTTCATAATTGTAGTAATTAAGATGGCTGATGACTTTTTTCACCTTTTTTTGTGATCATTTAACTTGGCGATTTATTTTTTTAAATTTTATTGGCGTATAGTTGATTTACAATGTTGTGTTAGCTAAATTCTATTTATCAGCCCTGCCATGGCAGCCAAAGACTCAAGATGCTCAGGACCCCCTCTTAGACAGCCCTGCCTTGGGTCTCCTCACCATAGGATGGGAGGAAAGAGGGTGCAGCAGGAGTGCGGGCCCTCGGAGGTTCTAGCTCAGCTGGGAAATGGGCCATGAAATCTTGGGGAAATCTCACCTCCTCTTTGCTTAATTTTCCTCATCTCTTAAATGATGGGTTGGGTTCAATGACATTTTAAGGGCTCCCCTGGCTAGAAGATGCTGATATATTGGGGGAGTACTGGATAGGATGCCTTTGAGAGCCGGCAGACAGCACAGCCCCCTGTGCCACCCAGCTCTGCCCCTCTCCCCTGGGAAGTCAGCAGGGGGTGGGGGGTGTCACCTCAGCAGGACCCCCCCTGCTCAGCTTCCAGGCCTCCAGCCCAGAGTGTGGCTCCTAACTGGAGGGCATCTTTGCTGCGGAGATGGGATTTTCTTCCCAGAACAGCTAACAGGCTATTGAGGAAATGGGTGACTGCACAGAAATGACTGCCGGGTTCTGAGCACCTGCGATGTGTTAAGCATGGTGCTGTGTGTTCACCTCACAGCAGCCTTTTGAGGGGTGTTCCCTGCACTTCACAGGTAAACACGCGGGGCAGGGCCTCAGAGCGTTTAGGTGACTTGCAGTCTCTAGAAAGGCTACCTGAGTGTCTCTCCACCCCCCCCCACCTCCCCAAACAAAGCTACATTGTCTAAGGTGCCACTTTTCCAAAGAAATAAAAGACAAAGTCATGGAGTCTTAAAGAGTGATGTCCTGGGTCCGAGCTCCTCTGAAGTCGCAGCTGGTGTGACTTCCCCTCCAGAGGGGTTTTTGTCGGGCTGACTAAAGATTGGAGATCTGGCCAGATGCCTCTCAGGGAGCCCTGAGTTTTCTAGGATTCTAGGATTTCAGCCCAGTACATAATTGCAGAAAAGAATTACTCTCTGCTTTATTAAACTTGTCTGCACTTAGGCCAAGTGGGCTGTTGATCCTGGGTAGGGTTTGTCTTTAAAGGAGGGGGGAGCGAGCATGTGCAGAAATCCATCACCTTGCTTTGCCGTTTCCAGGCAACCGCGCAGGATTACAACAAGTCACGTGGCCTCGCGGCTGCCAGGAAGAAGGGGAGAATGGAAAACTGTGCTATCTTGAGAAAGGGGCCGGGTATGAGCAAAGCCTTTGGATTCTCCTCCAGAAATGTTATCAACAAGTAGTCGGAGACCTGGAGGCTTGAGAGGGCTCCCGGCTTCTGGGTCCCCAGTCCAGCCCCACTGCTGGGTGGCAAATGTACCACCAGGGGACAGGCGAGGGGTAAACTGGGGGGAGGGGAGTCACTGGCCCAAGGTGACCGAGCACCTGTTCTGGAAACCAGGCTCTCCGAAGGGTTATCACTGAGAGGACCAAACTGAACTCAGCCTTGCTCCTGTGGCGCTATCTCCATCCGCCCTTCTTGTCACTACAGCCCTGGGCTAACGAGGGAGCAGAAGGCGAGCCCTTGGGTTAAAGCTGAGCCTGTGATGGTTAGGGCTGGGGGGGGTGGGCAGTGGAGGGGAGGAAAACCACCCATGAAGACCAGCTTTCCACTTCCTTTTTGAAAGCCTCCACTTTCTGATCATTGTTTATTTTGATTTTGGACGTTTGGAGTTTGCAACCCCCCCTCCCTCACATTGCGTGCGCACGTGTGTGCGTGTATGTGTGTGCGTGTGCATGCACACACACACACACACACATGCTGTTGTTGTTTATATTGCAGACGCTTTTATGGCAATTCATCCCCTTCTGTATACACTTTTGGCCCTAGGATCACACCCTCTGTGGCTGAAAGACTCCTGGGAACCACAGGGACAGCTTTGCTCCTGGCTCTCCCGGGTCACCCAAGGGGGTGGGTGTGCAGCACTCTGAAAGGCTGGGCTGTTGGAGGGAGCTGACCTCAAGTGGACCGGCTTCCAGTTTCCTTGCACCCAGCAGCTGTCCCAAGGCAGGGCTGAGTCATCTGGCCACACCCGCTCACTGGCCTGCCTGGTTTGCCCCAAGGTGGCCATGTGTTTCATAGCCTGGACCACTGGCTTTATGCCAGCCTGGCCACCTGGGGAGGTGAGCCAAGGAGCAGAGCATGGACACAGAGAGGCGGGTCTTGGGGAGGGAGATGCCACCCCCGCACGGTGCCCAGGAGCTGACAAGTCCGGCAGCGTGGCTTTCCAGAACTCTGGTCCCTTGTCACAGCCAGGAGAGCATCTTCCCTGCTGCTTGTCGTGTTCCAGCAGGTCACAGGGTGGTGCATCCTCTTCCCCTTTTCCTACGGAAACCTAAACAGACAAAGAAACACACTTCTTGCATGTTTTAAAGTCCTAAAGGCCTAATGAAGGTTCGAGGCACCTCTGCATTGAAAAGGGTTTGTCGCCCATTCAGTTCACTAAGGAAGTAAATAAAGAAAAAGTGAGTAGAGTTGAAAGCCGCAGCTCTGAGGATGCCAAGCTCTTCCTCTCACCTCTGGGACAAATTTGGGCTGCACCTTTATGTTTTTTAAGAGGAGGAAAAATCAATTATTAGCTCATCATATGAGAGATCATTCTATAGCAACAGACAAGTAAATAATGTTCTGGGTTTGTGGTATGTTTTCTTATTACTTTAAGTGAGAAGGTTGTACCTCCTATACGTTATTGGATGGATGTTGGGAAGGATTCAAAGGTGGCAGTGGGGTGAAGAGTTTTCAGTACATTAAAACTGAGAGTCGATGGGGAAAAAAGACATCCCATGTCTGTTTAATATGTAACGTATGGGAGGATGGGGGGATGCTTCCAAGAGAGCGTTGCCTATGCAGTTGATACAGAAAGACGGTCAATGTACGTGCTGGGAGAGTCCTGATGGCCAGGTTGGGAATTTGGGGTTAAATCTTCAGGACACTGAGGCTTGCTTCCCAGCGAGGTGTCAGGGCCCCTCTCCAGCACTCAGGCCTCTGCTGGCAGAGTCACACCCCCATCTTCACACATCCACAAACTACGCACCTTGACCCTAACTCACACTCGGAGGCAGGAGCGCACAAGCACGTCCCTGCCTTCTGCGTCCAGGTCCGCGTCCCTCCTGTGACACTTGGCCATCCCATCCGGGGACTAGCCACTCCAAGCCCAAAGTCCCAGGGAAACTTGAACAGAGGTAGAAAAGTGTTCGATGATAGAAAAAAACAAAACAAAAAAACAAAAAAACCTGCCTGCTTGCAGTTCTTGCGATGGCCGGGATGCCAGAATAAACTGTTGCTCTCCTGAGCTGGGGAGGACGGAGCAGGCCGGGGGAGGAAGCCAGAGCACTTGAAAGGCGGAATCAGAACTCGGGTCGGGAGCGCCCGGGTGGCCTCGGGGGCCTGGCAGGGGGCGGGGGCGGGCTGGGCCGGGCCGGGGCGGGCGCGGGGCGCTGTCCCTTTAAGGCGGGAGGCGCGGGCCGGCCGAGCGCGGCAGTGATTGGCGCGGCGGGATCACTGGCGGCCCGGGCCCGGCCCGGGGGAGTCGGCTGGAGCCGGCTGCGCTTTGATAAGGTCCTGGCAACTCGGTAACCACCCGAGCGCCGGGAAATAAAAATAACCCCTCGCAGTCATGGATCGCCGGGCCGCCGGGCGTCCAAGGCGCCCGTCTCCCCCGGCGAAAGCTGTGCTGTAAAAGGTGGGGGCGGAGGCGCGGCCCCGGCCGAGCCGCTTCCGAGCCGGGTCCCCCCCGGGCCGGGGGCGAGGTCGCGCCCAGCCGCGTCGCGGGCGCAGGGCGCGGGAGAGGGTCCGGCCCGGCCGAGAGGCGGCCGGGAGGGCGGCCGCGAGCCGGACGGCCCCGGAGAGGGGCGGCCGGGGCGCCGGGGGCGGCCCGGAGCGCGGCGGGCGCGTACCTCCCTTTCAGGACCGTGCGCCGGCTCGCGCCTTTGAAGTGCACAGTGAAATCCACGGCGCAGTTTTTGTTGGAAGCGCCCGGAGGACGTTGGGTGCCCGGAGTGGTTGCTGGAAGCGGGGCCCGTGTCGAAAGCCGGGCCGGGCGGGGGCCGGAGGAGCCGAGGGCGGCCGCGGCGGGGGCGAGGCCCACTCGTATCTTCCGCAGAAAGAGGGGCGGCGGGGCGCGCCTCTGCCCCCTCCCTCGCCGCCGGGTTCCCCGCACTCCCTCCCCGGCCGCGCGACTCCCCCATGTTCCCCGACGCCGGGACCGGCCCGGGGGGGCCCGGGGCCGCGGCGGCGAGCCGATCCGGGGGCCGGGGCCGAGGCCCTGCCCAGGGCGCCCGCGAGGTCTGGGCGCTGAGCCCGCGCGCGGACCCCTGGTGAGTGCGAGGCCGAGGCGGCGGGCGGCCCGCGCGCTTTGATGTGCCGGGCGGCCCTTTGAAGTGGGCAGGCCGGCTATTTCGGGGCGCGCTCCGGGCGGGCGCGGAGAGGGGCGGCGGGCGCGGCGCCCGGCGCTCTGGGGGGCTCGGCCGGGGTGGCGGGGGCCCGGCGGAGAGACTTGTGCGAGTGGCGGCTGCGGCGGGGGCGGAGCGGGGGCAGATCCCCTCCCCCGGGGGCGCCGCGCCGGGGCGGTGCTGGGTGGGAGTCTGGGTGCGAGTGTGCGCCGGAGTGCCTTTAGGAGGTGGGATGAAAGGGTGGTGGCGCCCCCCGCCCCCTCCCCTCCCCCCGCCCCCTCCCGCCTCTCTCTCCTCCCCTCCTCTCCTCCCCTCCCAGCCCCGGTCCGCGCAGAGGGGCCCCGAGCGCCGGCCGAGGCTCAGTCTGCGCGCCCGAGCGGCCCGAGCCCGGGGCGCCCGCGTCCCCCGCGTCTCTCCTGCCGCCCGGCCCCGCGCCCCCGGCCGCCCCGGCCCCTCGTGCAGAGAGGCCGAGCCTCCGCGCGTCGCCATTGCTGGACCGGCTGCCGCTTTCCGCGCTTCTCCTGCGGGCGCCTCCGACCCGGGCTCGGGGGCTGCGAGCGCCCACCGGGGCTCTGGACGTGTCGGGGTGGATTGGGGCCGGGGGGCGGGCCGGGGGGGCTCGGCGGAGATGAGAGCCGGGCCTCGGGCCGCCTTGGTCTTCCAGGTAACGGGGCCGCCCCACCTCCTCTCCGCCCGGGGAACGCGGCGCTACCGGCGGCCTGAGGCCCCGCACGGGGGCCACGCGCGCCCACCCGGAGCCCAGGGTTCCCGCCCCCGGTTCGGGGTCGCGCCCCCCGCCCCGCCCCTGCCCTCTCCCGAGTTTGATCCTCCCCTTGCTGGGGAAAGCGGCTGGTTTACTGGTTAGATAAGACTTTTTGCTTTTGGGAAAAAGAGGCTTGAGGTCAGCCGAGTCTGGGATTCCTGGCACAGGCAGTGTTAGCGTGAGATGGTCTCTGATCCGGTTTTGTAGGGTTTGCGGCTCCAGGAGGCGGGGGGCGCGGGGGCGACGGGTCGTGAGGCTTCTCTGCTCCCTGGCAAAGTTGGAAGATCAAAGCCTTGTCTGAGTGAGTGGATTTCTGGTTTGGGGGAGCCCGGAAGACCGAGGTGTAGACTGAGCCGGATTCTTGGCGGGAGGTGGGGGCGCAGCGAACGCTTCCATCTGGGTTGCGGGGCGGGGGCTGCAGCCGGGAGTCCGGGCGCCCGTTCCGCCCTGTGCTGGGCGGGCTTTCCTCCTCGGTCGAGGCTCTTCTGAATTTTTAAGGAGTGGGAGGGGGGGCGCAGGGGGAAGGGGTGGGTGGGGGGAATGGGAACCAGATGCCGGGGACGGGCGCGTTTGGAGCTCGAGTTATCTGTGCGGAGAGCCGAGTGGGGAAATTTACCGAAATTGGTTTCACCTGCACACAGCCCAGCGGCGCGGGGTTGCGCGTCTTTGGAGTGGATGCTGTCGGGGTGAGGGGAGGGCAGGGGAGGGGAGGGCCGCCCTGCGTGCGCCCGGGCCGGTGGGTTTTTGGAAGCTGGTGTCTTCTACCTCGCGAGCCCTCCGCCCCCGCTGCCCCCTCCCCGCGCCCCTTCCCCGCCCCTTCCTCCTTCCTCCTCCCCCCCAAGCGTGCAGGGAGCTCAGATTTCGCCTTTGAAAAAGCAGCCTCTGATACTTTAGATGAGCACCTCGCAGATAGCTGGGTTGCTTGATTTGAATTTGAGGAGTTGAAAAGCCTGTTTACTTTCTTGCTTTGATGTTGGGTAGATCTGGTTTTGATTATATCAATACCCTCTTCTCTCCCTCTACCTCCCCCCCCCTTCCTTTTCTTCCCAGAAAGGAGGCTCAGATGAGTCCCTGCTGACTTGAGAGAGAAAGAGAGACCACGCTGATTGCTGAGAGGAACTGGAAGGAGAAAAAAAAAATTCCTCAACTCAGCGAGAAGAACTCACTCGCCATGAGCAGCGCTGTGTTGGTGCCTCGCCTCCCAGACCCCAGCAGCAGCTTCCGCGAGGATGCCCCGCGGCCCCCAGTGCCGGGCGAAGAAGGGGAGACCCCACCGTGCCAGCCCGGGGTGGGAAAGGGCCCGGTCGCCAAACCCCTGCCTGTCTCCTCCAATGCCAGAAGGAATGAGGACGGGTTGGGGGAGCCGGAGGGGCGGGCGTCTCCGGATTCCCCTCTGACCAGGTGGACCAAGTCCCTGCACTCCTTGCTGGGTGACCAAGACGGTGCTTATCTCTTCCGGACTTTCCTGGAGAGGGAGAAATGCGTGGATACCTTAGACTTCTGGTTTGCCTGCAATGGATTCAGGCAGATGAACCTGAAGGATGCCAAAACTTTACGAGTAGCCAAAGCGATCTACAAGAGGTACATCGAGAACAACAGCATTGTCTCCAAGCAGCTGAAACCTGCCACCAAGACCTACATCAGAGATGGCATCAAGAAGCAGCAGATCGATTCTGTCATGTTTGACCAGGCGCAGACTGAGATCCAGGCGGTGATGGAGGACAATGCTTACCAGATGTTTCTGACTTCTGATATATACCTCGAATACGTGAGGAGTGGGGGTGAAAACCCAGCCTGCGTGGGCGGCGGGGGGCTGGGGAGCCTGAAGCTCGTGTGTGGCTACCTCCCCACGCTGAATGAGGAGGAAGAGTGGACTTGCGCCGACTTCAAGTGCAAACTGTCCCCCAGCGTGGTCGGCTTGTCCAGCAAAACCCTGAGGGCTACAGTCGGTGTGAGGTCCACAGAAACTGTGGAGAATGGACACAGGTGAGCCTTCGGTGGAGGGTGAGACGGCCTTTGCAGATGTTTTTGAGTTAAGTAGGGTGCATGGACGGGTGCATGGACGGGTGCATGGACTGCTGAGGCTCACAGAGGCCTGTCCTGAGCTCGGACCGCTGGCCACGAACGCTTCGATCTTGCGTTTTGCTGTTGAAAGGGGTGGGAAAGCGATGCACACACAGCTAAATACCTGTAGTCTTCCAGTGCTGGCTTCACACAGGGGCAGGCAGTGTGCGTTAATGCGGGTCACTTACCATCCTGGGCCAGTCTTGGGGGGGGTGTGGAGAGAGGACAGCAGCTTTTGAGGCCGATGACTCACCAGCTACCAGGCACCGGTTTGGGAAGGGGTTGTTCACAGCTAAGACATAGGGAGTAGGATGGATGTGGCCAGGGAGGCACCTGGCTTGTGGCGGAGCCCCAGGAAATAACGTGCGTGCCCACCGACCGTGGGGATAAGTGGGATCCATTGAGCTTTAAGTTCAGATAAGAGCCAGCGATTGGCTTAACAGCTGGGCTTGTGATTCTCTTTGTGGGATGAGATATTAACCCTGCAAGAAACCTCCTAAGGAGGGGAGGCCCTGTGACTTTCCCGAATGCAGGGCCCTTAGCTTTGGAGCCTGCTGATACATTATTCTGGGTTTTCAATGCTTGCGGCCCGAGGATCAGACCCCAGTTGATTATTGCGTTCCTTGGTGCTGATGGAGAAGAGGTCTTGGCCGGAGAAGACTGGAGAAGGGAAGAGTACCTTCTCCTTCGAGGCTTCAAAGACAAATGGTTCTTTATAGAATGGCCAAGTCTCAAGGTTCTTGACCTTTGGAGGCAACTTCAGACCTCCTGTTAGAATGAGTTTTTCTGTCTCTTTCTCGCTCTCCCCTTCCAAATGTCCAAAAAGAGAATGAGCCTCTCAATCCCAGGTTGCTGCGGACAGCATGCAGGGGAGGGCCTGGCCGGGAGCTGCTTATCTCGCTGTCCATTGTGTCCGGCTCCGTGGGTTTGGAAAGGCAGACGCGATCTGGCGGCTGTCTCTCTGGAGGTTACCCTCCCTCTGTAGGGTCCGAGGCAGGCAGGAGGGGCAGAGGAGCGGGGTCTGAGCCTGGAAGCCTGTGATCTCGGGGTGGCCCTGCAGGGAGGGAAGGATTGTGTTGGGTCCACCAGGGGGCGCGCCTGCAGCCTCGGGAGCCGGCCGTCTGCGTGCAGTCATCTGGTCTACACCTTAAGTGGGAACGGATTGGCTTTTGCGAGGGAGCCAAGGATCACGTGAACGGAGTTGTTTCAGCATCTTTAAGCTTATGGCTTCAGGCTGTTTTGGAGGAAGATACTGGCTCTGGCTTCTGTGGCTGGCAGTCAGGGGCCACCTGCCACCCCTGCCCTGTTCTGTTAGGTGGACGTGTGGGTAAACCCCGCTGGCCTCCATGCCCTCCAGGTTGGCAGCGGTCGCCAAGGCTACTTAAGGCCTGTGGTCAGGCAGCTTCTCCGGGAGCCTTCAGACAGTGGGGCTTCTGTGTCCCCCAGTGTCAGGGCCCAGAGCACCACCTTTGTAAACAGCGCCCCGTGTGGTTTTGGAGCGAGACAGGCTCCCCAGGTGGGACCCTGCTGTGACCCCTCCCCTTCGCGGGTGGACAGTAGGACCCAGCCTTGGCGAGCCCCTCCCCCTTCCACAGCCGCCCCCCCCCCCCCCCGGCTGGGCTGTCACTAGGGCTCAGCTTTATGGGGCGGGCCCTTGGGAGCATCGGAGACCCTGGATGCAGGGCCTGGGGTGCTTTGCGTGTCGGCGCTTGCCTTTTGGTTGGGAACTGTGGGTGTTCATATACAAATGACACCTTTCGCTGGCCTCTGGGCTTTCCATACTAGATTCGTGTGTGTGTTTTCTCCCACTGTCGGGAAGAGACGACATATCTTACCTGGACTGCACATGTCTTACCTGGGCATCATCAGAGAGAAATTAGGACACACCCCGATATTTTTTTTTAACATGCGAGGTATTCAAGGGTGCCTGAGGTGTATTATTAGGAGCTGCCCCGAGTTATTCAGAGACCCGAGTTGCAGCCCGGACCGCCTCTTACCACCTGGGCTGAAGTCTTTCTGAAGCCCGTGTGCCCTCTGTAAAGGGAGCGGACAACCTTCCCTTCAGTTTATGTCACAGGTTGCTATAACATTAGGACCAAAATAATAAACAGGAAAGCCCGTTGCGAAGGGAAATGTCAGAACAGCGCCCATTGCCGGCTGTGTGAGAAGCGCCAAGCAGGTTCGGGTCCCACTTTCAGAGAGTGAGCCTTGGCTGTAACACGTGTTCACTGTGAAGTTTCAGCATGTCCCCTCCCCACGCCGTGGCTTTCTCTGCTTGCGGAACTTGAGCGCGTTCGCGTTCGCAGCTCGGTCTGGGATCGGCCCCAAGTCAAGTCCGCCTCCCCGCCACTTGTCAGGCCAGGTGCAGTGAATGAACCAGGAGCCCCGAGTCCTGCCCTGCCGAGGGGTCGGTCCCTGTCACCAGCTGCTGAGCAGCGGTCTGGGCAGCTGGATGCCAAGGGCATGGCTGGTCTTTAATCCCTTTGATTTCCTTGAGCGCTTAGAGCAGCCTCGTTTTAATGACTTGTTTGTGTCCTTACTGACGTGGTGTCAGGTTTCATGTAAAGAGTTGGAGCCTAAGAGCAGGCATGGTCCTCAGAGGGAGGGGCTCAGGTTGGAGAGTGGTCCAGCAGGAGGCCTGGGCTTCTGATGGTCCCTGTAAATAACCCAGAGCCAGGGCGAGACACACAGACTACACACAGACACACACA